TGCTATGGGTTATATTTTTTTCCTATACATACATACTTTTTAATTCATAGACTAAGCACAGTAAAAGACTAACAGCACCACATAATAATAAATAGGAAAAAAGTATAGCAATATGCTCATTATGTACTAAAAGTTACTAGATGCATGAATTGCTAGGCATGGTGGTGCATGCCTGTAATCCCAGCATTCCAGAGGCTGAGGCAGGAGGATGAATGGGAGTTTGAGGGCAGTCTGGGATACCCAGTGAGTTCAAGGCCAGCCTGGACTGCATAACAAGACCCTGTCAAAAAAAAAAAAATCCATGAGTTATTTTTGTAGTTTTCCATTTAATATTTGGTTAACGGCTGGTAAGGCAAAGTGAGAAGCCAAACTTCAGGTAAGAGGAGGCTTCTGTAGCCATTCTTGGGAAACACCTACCCCTTCCTTTGCAGTTAACAGCAACACCTGCATTGTGAGGGTGCTGCAAGGGCTGCCTGTGGGGAAAAAACAAAGGCTCATCATTTCTCTTCTCTTGTTAGGATGGACCCTACGAACCAGGGCTGGAGAGTCAGCCCTCCCTGGACCAGAACGGGTACCCAGGAGAGAACAAGCACATTTGGCATGAAAAGGAACCAGAGCCGCTGGATGCCGAGGAAGAGAAAAGACACCAAGAAGACTACTGGCGGGAACTGGAGGCCAAATGCAAACGGCAGAAGGCCGAAGCAGCCGAGAAGAGACGTCAAGAAGAGCAGAGGCTGCAGGCACTGGAGAGAAGGCTGTGGGAGGAAAACAGAAGGCAGGAGCTCTTGGAAGAGGAGGGTGAGGAAGAGGAGGAGGAGCAACTACTGCTGGAGGCTGGAAAGGGGTCTCAGGAAGAAGGGCAGCAGAGGGGCCTGGAAGAGCAGGGCTGCCGCGGACAGCAGCTGAGAGCGCCAGAGGACCAAAGGCCTCTGCAGGAGGAGGCCGAGAGGCAGCAGCAGGAAGAGAAAAGGAAGTTGGCGGAACTCAGAAGACTGGAGGCACAGCGGCTGGCAGAGGAGGAGGAGGAGGCCCAGAGGCTGCAGGAGGAGGCCCAGAGGCTGGAGGAAGAGGTCCAGAGGCTGCAGGAGGAGGCCCAGAGGCTGGAGGAGCTGAGGCAGCAGGAGGAGCTGGAGGCGCAGAGAAAACGTGAGCAAGAGGAAGAGGAGCAGCTGGAGGAGCTCAGACGACAGCAGCAGGAGGAGGCCCAGCCAGGAGAGGAGCTGGAACAGTGCGAACAGGCGACCACTGTGCAGGGGCAGCCAGGCGCAGCGGCGGAGGGGCCCGGGGCAGGACCCGGGCTGTGGGAAGAAGGTGGGCAGCCACCAGAAGAGGACAGCTGGGGTCTGCAGAGCCCATCTCAGAATGACTCAGCAGGGAAGCCAGAAGAGCAAGAAAATGTGGAACCCAGCAGGCAAGGAGAGTACCCGGAAGAACTGCAGAGCCAGGAGGCGGGGCTGGCTGGGGAGCAGCAGGGCACGAGGGGAGGCTGGCACAGGGAAGAGCGACACGTTCTCGAGGACAGAGAAGCAACTCACGAGGACCTCCCCCAGCCTCAAGAGCCGCCTGCGGGAGAAAAGCTAAAGAGTGATGCAGCTGTCCCTGAGAAGGACAGGAAGGTGGAGGAACTGCGGTGGCAGGAGGTGGAGGAGAGGCAGACCATGCCACGGCCCTACACATTCCAGGTGTCCTCGGGAGGGCGCCAGATCCTCTTTCCCAAGGTCAACCTGAGCCCCGTCAGGCCTGCTGTGCAGGAGCCCAAGGCACCACGTGCGCTAAGCGTCCCGCACACCGCCATCCTGGTCACGGGGGCACAACTGTGCGGTCCAGCTGTCAACCTGCACCAGATCAAGGACACGGCATGCATGTCACTGCTGGGCCTGTCAGAGGAGAAGAGGCCAGTGGATGTCCCTGCCACCGCAGAACCCTGCGCAAGCAGCGCCAAGACCAGGCCCCCACAGGAACCACCTGGCAGCGCGGCCGCCTTGGCCGAGTGGGCGTCGATCCGGTCTCGGATCCTGAAAAACGCGGAGAGTGACAAGGAACAGTCAAGGCCGGGGGATGAACCGGTGCCCAGGGCGCGCACCAACTCCCGCGGGCACCTGCGCAGGACGCCGCCCGCCAACGCCAAGTTCTCCATCATGCCAGCCTGGCAGAAATTCTCTGACGCCGGCACAGAGAATCCCAGACAGAGCCCGGAGGCCGACAGCATCCGCAAGAGACCCTCACCAGGGCCAAGTGAGGAGACAGCACTCAGGCCGCCGCCTACCGCACCTCCCGAGCCTCTGCGGACCCAGGAGAAGACCGAGGTGCGTCCAGAGCCCGCAGATGCCACGGAGGGCTGCAAATTTGCCAAAGATCTTCCATCTTTCCTCGTCCCGAGCCTTCCGTCGCCTCTGCCGAAAGCAGGGGCCCATGCTGAGCCCACAGCCTCGTGGGATGGGGAGAGCACAGGTGACATAGCCAAGCCAGACCCAGTGACACAGGCCGGGGAGGAAAAATCTTCCCCTTTTGGAATAAAACTGAGAAGGACCAACTACTCCCTGCGTTTCCACTGTGACCAGCAGGCCGAACAGAAGAAGAAGAAGAGACACAGCAGCACGGGAGACAGCGTGGATGCACCCGGGGAAAGAGAAGCAGAAGGCATGGCCCCCAAGCCAGGCCCTGCGCTCACCCAGGACAGAAAGCAGATCCCAGCCCCCCGCAGGGACTCTACTGCAAGCCTTGTTGGCCCTTACCCTGCAGCAGCCCAGTCCGGCTCCCCACCGGCCAGCAGCCAGGCCCCAGCTGCAGAGCAGGACAAGACAACAAGCAGAACAGCCCTGGTGCAGAAGCCAGCCTTGGCGCCCAAGCCTGCTGGCCACACCCCACCATCCTCTCCTCTCACCAAGCTCAGCCGTCCCTATTTGGTAGAGCTACTGGCTCGGAGGGCTGGAAAGTCTGACTCAGAGCCCAGCCAACCACCCAAGGAGAACCAGGAGAGCAAGGATCCCCAGCCTCTCACACCACCACCCCCAGATGAAAGGAAGGGACCAAAGAGGGAACAGGAGGAGGAGGTTCGGGAGAGGAAACCTGCTTCCCCACCTCTGACTGCCACCCAGCTGGAGAGACTTTCCCAGACTCCAGAGGCTACCAGAAAAGGTACGTACCTGCAAGGCTGGATGCTCCTGCATCACTGGAGCTACAGAGCTCCCAGAGAAGCTGAAAGCCTCCTTGATAATTAGAAGCCATTGTGCTCTGTCTGCTGCGCCAAATCGGCAGGCTTGGGGCTTCAGACATCCACACGGGGTCTAGGGATCCTCTCAGTGGACAACCAGCTTTGACCACATTTTATTTATTTTTTCCCATAATTTTATTGATAAACAAATAGCAGTGAGACAGTTTCAAATCAAATTGGTAGGACAGTTTCAATAATTAAAACATTGCATACATTCTTCCTAGTGGTTCATTGCTGTACAAGATGCGGACATGATATCCTATTTACAAACACTTGACCACGTTTTATGTAAAATGCTCTGCTAATGCTGCCTCAGATCCTCCCTATACCACTTGGCCAGCTTGCCACCATGCAGCACTCCTGGAAGGAAACTTCAGAGCAACCCTATAGGTGACTGCCTCTGATGTTTCTTCTAAGGAACATTTGGGGCAGGCAGGTGCTCACTAAATTAGTTTTTGTGTCTACCGAGAGCCATCATCTAACACTTTCTCTCCTGCTTTGCAGAGAGAAGGAAAGAAATAAGAGCTGTAACCTTATACCCACCAGAGAAAATTCTCCCCTGAGGTTCTTAGGGAGGAAATCTTTACATGACTGCTAGTCACAACCCTGTCTCTACATCTGATGTTTTGTCATCACACTGGTTCATTCCGCTGCATATTCTTTCACTGGAATTTTTATCTCCTGTGCATCTGTTTAAATCTGTTTCAT